AAAGAACATCCACCCATTTTCTTTGAGGATGGATAGATTGCCCTACACAATTCTCTATACAAATGTGCCAAACAAGCAGAACCCCAACTATATCGTCCTGCACGTTCCAAGTCAGCCAATAATGGTAAATACATTAAGTGAATTCTATTACCTGACTTGTCTGGCATAATGACACCACCGATCAACCCTAAGATATATGTTCGACAATGTTGAAGCAATTGTTGTTGAGCGGGTTCATCTGGTAGTGCAATTATATGATCTCTTAACCATTTGAGTTTTATGCTTGAGCCAACTAGAGCTTCCCCTTTCGGAGGTACGAACCCTAACAACTCGTAACATAATTCATCCCAGTCAAAGAAAGTTGGTCTTGTTACTGGTTTGCCGTCAATCCTTAAACCCAATTGTAGTGCCACATCTTCCAAAGTCACCGTGCACTCACCAACTGGGAAGTGAAAAGTAAGTGTCTCAGGTCTCCACCTCTTCACCAAAGACGTTATCAAACAATCATCGATTTTAAAATGTCTTATTTTTGCAACCTCGGCAAAGCCAGCAACCTCCAACAAATTCTCAATTCTTGGGTCTGGTTTAGGCATGGAATGATAGTAAGATTGAATGAGTTAATCACTTGTTGTCTACGAAAATGATAGAATTAAAATGTTAGTAAAAGATAATATTAGTTGTAAACATTATGTAATGTATAATAACTTACCATAAGATGAGTTTCATTTGACCTATGGAGGTGTTGTTTCCACAACATAGTTGAAGATGAAGAAGACATTCTTGAAGAACAATAGAAACGAAATTCAATACTGCAATAGCTGAAGAGAAATGATCTTTTGTTGTGTGTTTAGGGTTTGATCGTATGTAGTGTATATATAGTGGAAAAAATCAATGGATGATGCAGAGTCATCAATGCTTTGTCCCAGAGCGTCAGAAAAATGAATGCTTTGTGCAGGGTGTCATTGATGCAGTGTCCCAGAGCTTCAAAAAAGTTATTGCTTTGTGTAGGATGTCATTGATGCAGTGTGTCATCAATGTTTTGTCCCAGAGCGTCAGAAAAGTTATTGTTTTGCGCAGAGGCATGAATGCTTTGTACCAGAGCATCAGAAAACTTATTGCTTTGTGCAGGGTGTCATTGATGCAGTGTGTCATCAATGCTTTGTCCCAGAACGTCAGAAAAGTTATTGCTTTGTGCAGAGGCATGAATTCTTTGTACCAGAGCGTCAGAAAACTTATTGCTTTGTGCAGGGTGTCATTGATGCAGTGTGTCATCAATGCTTTGTCCTAGAACGTCAGAAAAGTTATTGCTTTGTGCATAGGCATGAATGCTTTGTACCAAAGCGTCAGAAAACTTATTGCTTTGTGTAGGGTGTCATTGATGCAATGTGTCATCAATGCTTTTTCCCAGAACGTCAGAAAAGTTATTGCTTTGTGCAGAGGCATGAATGCTTTGTACCAAAGCGTCAGAAAACTTATTGCTTTGTGCAAGGTGTCATTGATGCAGTGTGTCATCAATGCTTTGTTCCAAAACGTCAGAAAAGTTATTGCTTTGTGCAGAGGCATGAATGCTTTGTACCAGAGCGTCAGAAAACTTATTGCTTTGTGCAGGGTGTCATTGATGCAATGTGTCATCAATGCTTTGTCCCAGAACGTCAGAAAAGTTATTGCTTTGTGCAGAGGCATGAATGCTTTGTACCAGAGCGTCAGAAAACTTATTGCTTTGTGCAGGGTGTCATTGATGCAATGTGTCATCAATGCTTTGTCCCAGAACGTCAGAAAAGTTATTGCTTTGTGCAGAGGCATGAATGCTTTGTACCAGAGCGTCAGAAAACTTATTGCTTTGTGCAGGGTGTCATTGATGCAGTGTGTCATCAATGCTTTGTCCCAGAACGTCAGAAAAGTTATTGCTTTGTGCAGAGGCATGAATGCTTTGTACCAGAGCGTCAGAAAACTTATTGCTTTGTGCAAGGTGTCATTGATGCAGTGTGTCATCAATGCTTTGTCCCAGAACGTCAGAAAAGTTATTGCTTTGTGCAGAGGCATGAATGCTTTGTACCAGAGCGTCAGAAAACTTATTGCTTTGTGCAGGGTGTCATTGATGCAGTGTGTCATCAATGCTTTGTCCCAGAACGTCAGAAAAGTTATTGCTTTGTGCAGAGGCATGAATGCTTTGTACCAGAGCGTCAGAAAAGTTATTGCTTTGTGCAGGGTGTCATTGATGCAGTGTCATGAATGCTTTATCCTACAGCGTCAGAAAAATTATTGCTTTGTGCAGAGTCATGAATGCATTGTTTACGGTTGTTGAATGTAATTGATTGACTCCTAACTCCACCTTCTATTTAAATGATACGAATGTTGGGTTCAAATGCAAAGTGCAATTGAGCTAAGCTTTGTTGTTTCTGTGTGTTAGTCCTTGTCTACAACAATGTCTTCCTCTTCTTTCAATGTGTTAGTCTTTTTCAATGGTGAAATCACTCAAACAACTCAAGGGGATACTTTTGTATCCTCTGACACAATATTTTTATCAATTAGATCACGTATCACACTTGATGCGTTGAAAGCTAAGATCCAAAGAAGAATTTCATTACCACAACCACATTTAGTTGATCAACTTTACTTTCGGTATCCACAAGTGGTAGGCGAAGGAATGCTTCATTTCCGGGCTGTCAAGCTTACCGACGATGAAGATGTTCATGGTATGATTCAAATGATTCGTTCCTTTAAACATCTAACTTCTGCTCAACTATATGCAGATCTCACACCAATTATTTCTGAAGAAGAAAACTAACCTTCTACCTATGAAAACCAACCTTCTATCTATCAAAACCAACCTTCTTCTTCCTATCAAAATCAACCTTCTTCCTATCACAACCAACCTTCTTCGTATGAAAACCAACCTTCTTTCTATGAAACCCAACCTTCTTCATATCACAACCAACCTTCTTTCTATCACAACGAACCTTTTTCCCATCAAAACCAACCTTTTTATCATCAAAACCAACCATCATTAGACGATTTTCATACACATGGATCATTTACCAACCTCCTTACATCTGGAGTCCAACAAGAAAAAGAACAGGAAGGAGTCCCTGAAGTTGGAGTTCCTGAATAAGAAGTTTGGCCTTTCATTGGTTTTTAATATGATGCAAGACTCCAACAAGATGATGAACAAGATGAACAAGATCGTGTTCTACAACAATCTCAGCACGTAAGCACATTCAGTTTTCCTTCACACATGCATAATGTTGATTTGCAAACAGATTTCACCGACCCAGAGTATAGACATGCACTTGACTATGTTGACGTCGAGTACTCTCCTAACAGCCTATTTGAAGGCATGACTTTCAACACAAAGGAGGAAGTCCAACATGTTCTAAATGCATACCATATAAAGAAAGGTTTGTATTACAGGGTCGAGAAATCGTCACCAACATTAATTGTTGCACACTGTGTTAACAGTACATGTGATTGGAGCTGCAGAGCGGCTTTTATTACTAAAAGCCAAAAATGGGAGCTTCGTAAGCTATCAGGTGAACATTCTTGTTCATCACCTATTATTACACAAGATCATGTTAACCTTGGCTATGTATATATTAACAAAAGTATTCTTCCTTTGGTGAAGAGTGATCCATTCATTTCTATTCCAACAATAATAGCACACATAAAAAATGCTGAAGGGTACACGATCTCATACCGCAAAGCTTGGATGGCAAAGCAAAAGGCAATTGAAGACTTACATGGTAACTGGGAACAATCACCCCATGATTTACCCAAGTTGCTTAGTGTCCTGAGTGGATTTCTTAATGGATTTGTTGTTGAGAAGCAAACAAGGCCACTATACAACCAATAAGGTGAGATGGTTCATCATTATGTTCAATTCCATAGAGTATTTTGGACATTTAAACCTTGTATCGATGGGTTCAAATACTGCAAACCCATTGTTCAAGTTGATGGCACATTCTTGTATGGCAAATACAAAGGAACTCTCCTTGTGGTCGTGGCTCAAGACGGTAACAACAAAATCTTTCCAATTGCCTTTGCAATTGTTGAGGGTGAAACAGCAGAGGCATGATTTTTCTTTCTACATTATCTCAAAAGACATGTTTGCCCTCAAGATGGCCTTTGCTTAATTTCGGACAGGCACGAGTCTATCAAAAATGCCTACGCTAGACAAGGCAGTGGTTGGACACCTGAGAATTCAGTGCATGTATTCTGTATTCGCCATATAGCTCAAAACTTCATGAGGCATTTCAAGAATACAGAACGGAAAAAATTAATCATCAATATGGGTATGTACTTAGCATCATTAATTACTTTAATTTGTTTCACCATATTTCAACATTACTAAATTGTTCATTTTTTCCTAATCTGATTTCACAGCTTATGGGATGACTGAGCCAAGATTCAATTACTACTACAACACGCTAAGGAGCGAACCAGAAACCGAAGGTGTAATTGAATGGCTCAACACCATACCAAAAGAACAATGGACTCTTGCATGGGATGGTGGCCGACGATGGGGACACATGACTACTAACTTGGCTGAGGCAATTAACTCCATTCTTAAAAAAACAAGAAATTTGCCAATTTCTGCAATCATCATGTCGACTTATAAGAGATGTAATGCCTTATTCATCCAAAAGGGGAAGGAAGTCGATGCTAAACTTAGGGCTGACCAAGTTTATACGGAAATAATGAATAGGGCCATGAGAGATGTAGAATCAAAAGCTAATACTCATCATGTCCTCGAATTTGATCGTCACAGTACACGTTTTTTGGTGCAAGAGACCATTAACCCAAGGGAAACACGACCTACTGGAACTTTCACGGTTAGACTACATGACAATTGATGTGACTATGGAAAATTTCAAAAGCTACACATGTCATGCTCCCATGTTGTTGCTGCATGTAAGCATGTTCACCACGATTATAAATTACATAGATCCGGTATACACATTACAATATGTTTCAAATGTGTATAATGAATTATTTGGTGAAATGTCTAATGAATCTTATTGGCCGGATTGTGAAGAACCGCAAATCATACCAAATCCGGAAAAGATTAGAAATAAAAAAGGTCGTCCAAAGTCATCCAGAATACGCACTAAAATGGATATGGTTGAACCAGGACAACCAAAAAGATGTTCTCTCTGCAGAAATGTAGGTCACTCAAAGAAAAAATGTCCTTACCGTCAAGGAAGTTCAAGTCATCAACCTTAAAATGTCATCAAACCTTCCAAATATTGTATTTTGTTTTCTAGTATTTTATATAAATATTTTATCTTTTGTTAAAATTTTTAATTAATATTTATTTCATTATTTGTTTAATTAATAATTATTTCATTATTTATTTTTATTCTACAAACTTAACTAAATGATTTTATTTGAAAATACTAAAAAAATTATAAAAAAATGAATATTTAAAATTAATATACGAAAATAAAAAATTAGAAATCTGAATAAACAAAATAAAAAAAACAAACAAAAACCAAAAACAAAAATATAAAACAAAATACAAAAACCAAAAACAAAAAAAAAAACGAAAACGAAAAAAAAATAAACAAACAAAAACCAACAACCAAAAACAAAACAAAATTAAAAACCAAAAACAAAAAAAAAACTAAAACCAAAAACCAAAAAAAAAATAACGCAGTTGAGAAATCGGTTTCGTGTTAACCGATTTCTCACTGCAAATCTTAACATTTGATAAAAATTGAAGGTGAGAATCGGTTCCCCCCAACCGATTTCTCACCTTAAATAGTAAATGGTTCATTTTGATAAATAAAATGGGGGTGAGGTTATTCAGAAAAAAAAAATTGATATATTAAAAAAAAAGTCGAGCATTTACAATGAAGAAATTTAAGGGAGTTTCTCTATTAATTTTTTTAATAATATTTCACATGCCACATCATCATCTTTCCTATAAGAAATTCAATCATTTTTTTACTCTAATAAAAATTCACTAAAATTTTACACATAGACTCCATAAATATAAAAAGTGAAACCAAAAGTAATTTTATATCATTATTTAATAAAAGATGGTTTCGGAATACCAAAAGGAACGGTCGCTGAGAAAAGAAATAACCCATATTTTATGATTGACCTAAACCCACATAATTTCTCCCTAATAATGATACATATTTTGTATTTGAGATTCTTTTAATGTGTGTATCAAGAGAACTACTCCTGTCAAAGATGTCCTTATGAATTAAAGAACCACAATTAAAAATTATATATATATATATAT